TTAGGTACGACTTTACTCTTTTCTACTACTTGTCATCCACAAACCGATGGTCAAACCGATGTAGTTAATCGAACTTTAGGTATGTTATTGCGAGCTGTTCTTAAAAGAAACCTGAAGTCATGGGAGGAATGTATTCATTTTATTGAGTTCGCGTATAATAGATCTGTGCATTCTTCTACAAAGTTTTCACCTTTTGAGATTGTTTATGGTTATAATCCGCTAACTCCTTTGGATTTGTTGCCTTTACCTGTTAATGAGATTTCTAGTCTAGATGGGAACCGTAAGGCTGAGTTAGAGAAGAAAATCCATGAAGAAGCACGCGAGCACATTGTGAAAAGGAATGACCAAGTTGCGAACCGAGCTAATAAGAGGCGAAAGCACCTTACCTTTCAGCAAGGAGATTGGGTTTGGGTTCATTTTCGAAAGGAAAGGTTTCCCAATGAGCGGAGTTCAAAACTTAATCCACGAGGAGATGGACCTTTCCAAGTGCTGGAGAAGATTAACGATAATGCCTCTAAGATCGACCTTCCAAGTGAGTCTCAAGTTAGTTCGACATTTAATGTTTCTGACCTATCTCCGTTTGATGTAGGTTCAGATTCGAGGACGAATCATTTTCAAGAGGGGGAGGATGATACGATCCATCCAATTACGCGAGGTAGTGCCGAGCTGGATGAAGGAGTTGATGACTTGGACGAGCTGCATGTACCAAGAGGACCAATTACCCGAGCTCGGGCCAAGCGCATTGAAGCAGCCATGCTTAACTTAGTAGAACACAAGCTCCAAAAGGAAGAATTGACGAAGTCTAGTTCGGTCCCAACTGAGCTTAATTGGAGCGAATTATTCGGGCCAGATTGTGAAGCAAGCCGAGCTCAAGGACTTGAGCCCGTCTAGTCATCCAGACGAAGAAGACGTGACATGGAAAAGATGATTATTATTAATTTTCGTATTTTATTATTGGAAAATTTATTTCTTGTTATATAGAGTCCGATTTGGACTAGATTTAGTTTATTTCATTATTTCCTTATAATAGATAAGTTATGATTTATTTTCCTTGTTAGATTATGTCTCTTTGACACTTATAAATAGCTTGTTTTAGGTCATTATTATTTGGACGTTTTTAAGTATTATTTTGAGAGATTAAAATTCTCCTTCGTTGTTCTTCAACAACTCTTCGGGATATTTTGCGAGTGGATTCTTGTGAATTATTCTTAGCAATATAGTATTGGTTTCTGATTCATTATAATCACGGGGTCAATACTTCCACCTTGATAATATTGATGTCTAGCTCTCTATAACTACGGGGTTAATATTCCGAATTCCGCCAATGGAATCCTTTATTTTTTGGACGTTCCGTTCTTGCTTCCGCATAAGATTATTGGGTCCCGTAACAAGTTCTACGGGGTTCGTATCATAATGTCAGAATAAATTTTCTCCAGTCAATTAATATATCCAACGTGTACTATTTGGAGTTCAAAACTTTCATATAAACCACAAAACACAATCACATGATCTGCCAATTTGTACAGCACCATCACCTCTTGTCTGTACGTGGCTAACGCATCTGTGTGGACCATTATGTTTACATTAGTTAAAAAAAATTAATGGTGATAATATGTAAATTATAGTTCAAAAGCCATTATTAGGTATTGTCATCAATATGTTTATACGGATTTTACGGTTGTTGTTTCCTCTGTATTATTATGACATGTAACATGAAATTAATTGAACTTGTTATTGTTTTCGGTGAGATGAATGCTTCACAATTTGTTATAAAAAATTGATTACTTTTGTGGGTTATTTTGAGGGCTATTTCTCATCTCCATCATGTGCTTATTAAAGAGATTTGTTGTAATGTTCATTATATATTATTAAGAATGATATTGTACATAATATATACAAAAGAGTCCCACTAATCTAGTTTGTACAATAGGAAACTAAATCAATGTAATTACTGTAATGGGGAGAGAATTATGTCATTACTGATTATGCTCTATCAAGGAATATTATGTTCCTGATTTTGTGCCCTATCATGCCCCCGCAAGCGCAAGGGTCCGGGAAGGACACTAAGCTTGGACCGATGAATTAGAAACAGCTTCCGAGAAAAAGGTTTTGTAAGGGAGTCCGCAAGCTGGTCTGTTGAATGAACATGGGAGATGCGAAGCCTTTTTTGAGAAACTTGATCACGTACAAAATGAAAGTCGATTGCAATGTGCTTCATTAGTGAATGGAAAACAGGATTGGAGCATAAGTAAGTAGCTCCAATGTTATCACAATAAATTGTTGGAGCAACTTGTAAGGAGAGAGATAGTTCACGAAGTAAATTCGTGATCCACATTACTTCAGCAGTGGCAACAGCTATGGCACGATATTCTGCCTCGGTGGATGACCGTGCAATGGTCAATTGTTTCTTGGAGCTCCAACTAATGGGATTTGAGCCGAGGAAGACAACATAGGCTGATGTTGAGTGTCGGGTGTCGGCATCACCAGCCCAGTCTGCATCGGCAAAAGCATGAAGTGCTAGAGGAGAGCTGGCAGCAATGAAAATACCATAATGGGACGTGCCCTTTAGATATCGAAGAACTCGTTTAACAGCAAGCCAATGATTCTCGGTTGGTCGATGCATAAATTGAGCTAGCTTATTGACTTCATAACTAACATCCGGTCTGGCAAGAGAGAGGTATTGAAGTGAACCAAGCACTTGGCGATACTCTTTTGGATCATGGCTACAGGAGCTGTCGTCAAGTTTGAGTGTCTCAGAAGGAGACATTAATGGAGTGTGGACTTCTTTGGCTTCATGGATATTAGTGCGTCTAAGAAGATCACTAATATATTTTTGTTGAGATAGGAACATGCCCCGGGAGGTTCGAGATGTTTCAACTCCTAAGAAATAGCTGTGATTCCCGAGATCCTTAAGAGAAAACCGATTAGAGAGCCGAGTAGTGAAGGTAGAAATTGTAGATGGATGATTGCCGGTGATAACTATATCATCCACGTACACAAGCAAGTACATGATTCTCGCCCCCGTAGTATAAATAAAGAGAGAAGTATCACTCTTTGAGTTTGCGAAACCATAATCAAGAAGAAAAGAGTGAAGCTCATTGTACCATGCCCGATGAGCTTGACGAAGACCATATATGGCTTTATGCAGTTTACATACATGTGAAGGATAGTGAGAGTTGATGAAGCCTTGAGGTTGCTGCATATAAACAGATTCAGAAAGAGTACCTTGCAAGAAAGCATTATTAACATCCAATTGTTTCAAAATCCACCCACGAGTCACAACAATAGTAAGAACAAGGCGAATAGTAGCTGGTTTAACAACTGGACTGAAAGTTTCGGTAAAATCAATACCAGGTCTTTGGTGAAATCCCTTAGCCACAAGACGGGCTTTGTAGCGAGCAATAGAACCATCCGGTTCTTTTAATTCTATAGACCCATTTACATCCAACAATGTTCTGTGTAGGGGAGGAGGGTACAAGGGTCCAAGTTTTATTTTTTGTAAGGGCTAGAAACTCTTCGCTCATGGCTTCACGCCAATGAGAGTGTGAGTTCGCTTGGGTAAATGAGGTTGGTTCTGTTTCGAGTAGAGACGGAATCGTAGTTGTATGAAGAGAGAAATGTTTTTTTGGTTTGTGAATATTATTTTTGGCACGAGTGATTATGGGGGATGGTTGAATTGGTGGAGGGGGAGGGGAATTATTTGGTGCAGTGGGCTGATCCGAGATGGTAATAATTTGGCATGGGGTAGAGTAGCTGGTGGTACATTCACCTGGGGTATGAGTTGCAGTAGTAGGGGTGGGATTAAGAGAACTTATGGGTGAGGGTGGAGAACTAGTTACCTGTGGTGGAGATGATCGATGAGCAGCCGTGGGAGAAGACGAAGTAGAGACAACTTGTTGAGAAGAACATCTTCGAGATGGTGTAGGGAGCAAGTATGGTTCATGAGAGGGTGGAATGACAGAATCCGAAGGGTCACATGGGGGTGCTGTTGCTTTGTCGACATTCTTATCTGTGAAGGTAGATAGGTATTTGGAAAAACTGTGGCTTGAGATATATAAGTCAGGATATGATTTATCTTTGTAAGGAAAGACGTGCTCAAAGAAGACAACATGTCGAGAGATGAAGAGCCGATTCGACTTAATATCAAAACAAAGAAATGAGTGGTGAGAAAGAGAAAAACCAAGATACACACATGGACGGGAACGGGGTTCAAGTTTGTGGCTGTTGTATGGTCGAAGCCATGGATAACAAAGGCAGCCAAAAACTCGAAGTGAAGTATATTTTGGTATGTGACCAAATAATTTTTGGTATGGTGTATCGTAGTTGAGTACGGGTGTAGGCATACGATTGATAAGATAAATGGCATTTTGGAAAGCATGAGACTAGAATCGTAAGGGTATGGCAGCATTGTGGAGTAGCGTGAGGCCGGTTTCCACTATATGACGATGTTTCCGTTCAGCGGAGCCAACATGCTCAGATGTATAAGGTGGAGATGTGAGATGTTGGATACCTTGTGTAGATAAACGGTGAGCAAGAGCTTTGTACTCACCACCACCATCTGTGTATATGGTTTTAATTTTGGAGTGAAAGAAATTTTCAATCAACTTGCTGAATTTTTCAAAAACACTAAATACATCGGATTTGGACTTTAGAGGATAAAACCATGTGTATTTAGTGAAATAATCAATAAAAATAACATAGTATCGGTAATTGCCAAAAGAGATCACTGGAGAAGGTCCCCTAACATCTGAATAATTAATTTGAAATGGTGCATTACAGCTAATGGAAGAACTTTTGAAAGATAGTTTATGACTTTTGTTACACATACAAGAGTCACACACTTTATCAGAAGAAAGCACAGAAGAGGGAATTTTATTATTTGTTAGAATCCTTTTTTGGATGGAACGAGAGGGATGACCAAGACGTTGGTGCCATAACTGAGAGGAAAGAGCAATAGAGGTAGAAGGAGTGAGGGTGGATGGAATCGTTTTTGAAGATGATCATTCGTACAAGTTATGTCTACTCCGGCCTTTCGCCAAGGATGCCCTCGTATTCAAATCCTTCACAAGAAAATAGTTAGCAAAAAATTCAATGGAAACATTATTTTGTTTGCAAAATTGGGAAACAGATATCAAGTTCTTCTTTATTAATGGAGCACACAGAACATTGTTTAATGCAAAAGAGGAACCATGAGAATTAATTGAACCAGAACCAATATGAGAGATAGGAATTTCATTACCATTGCCGACAACCACGTCTTCATTTCCAACATAGTTTGAGTGCATCGAGAGATTCTGGAGATCGGAAGTGATATGGTGCGTGGCACCTGAATCGAGCACCCAATTCTTATTGTTATGGGTTGTGTCTCGTTCAGCTAGATTTGCATGCGGTCGAGATAACTGAGAAGATGGTTGTTCACGAGAGTAACAAGTTTTTGCACTGTGTCCCGGTTTATCACATAGTTGACAAACAATGCGATGTTGGCTTTGATTTCCCTGATAAGAGTTTGAATTCCATGAGGAAAAATGTGGTTGAAAATTTGATGAGCGTATACCTCGTCCAGAAGAAGGTTGTTGTTGGCGATTAAAATGCATGTGGCTGGGAGTGTTATGTGAGTTGTGTGATGAGCTATTGTTACCACCACGATGTCCTCCGCGAGTACCACAATTTTTATACATAGCCTGTTTTTGAGTGAATTGTGCAGTGATTTGTACTTCTTCATCCTTTAATTCTCCATTATTACGAATCAGTTCCTCGTCGAGTAATTTATCATAGAGGTCCTCAAACGAGAGTGGAGTGTCGCGAACACGAACGGCTGCAGTGAGTTCTTTAAACTCGTCACCCAAACCATTTAAGGCATAGGACATGACTTGAGAGTCATTTAGAGGGTGTCCAATAAGAGCTAAGTCGTCAACGAGGTTCTTTACCCTGCTCATATAGGCAGCAACGGTCTTCCCTTCTTTTTTGTTTGTCATGAGGGATGACATAATAGAGAGCATCCTTGTATTGGAACGATTAGCAAAACTCGTTTCCAATTTGTTCCAAGCATCAGCAAAAGTGGTGCAATTGTTGATCGTCGGGCTGATTGTGCTATTAACCGTGGCCTGGATGCTGAAGAGCACAAGACGATCTTGACGAGTCCAATAAATATATTCTGGATCGGTTGGCAGCAGGCATGGATGTGTTCCATCAACGAAGCCAAGAAGTCCATAACCGAAGAGAAGATTGGTCATTTGCGACTTCCAAGAAGCATAACTTACCCCATTCTTTGCAAGTTTGAATGGAATCTGGGAAGAGGCATTAAGAGATATTAGATTTCCACCGTTAGAAAATGAATCACGTTGAGTCATCATTTGTGGAGTTGTTGACACAAGAGTAGGTTCTGCAGAAATGGTTTGGGGAGGTATTGTTGTATTTAGTGGTGTTTGATTTTCCATTGTAGTTGTAATGGAGACTAAGTAGGTGGGCAAAGGATCAAACTCTATTCAATTGATAGAGAGAGCTCTGGTACCATAAAGAGATTTGGTGTAATGTTCATTATATATTATTAAGAATGATATTGTACATAATATATACAAAAGAGTCCCACTAATCTAGATTGTACAATAGGAAACTAAATCAATGTAATTACTGTAATGGGGAGAGAATTATGTCATTACTGATTATGCTCTATCAAGGAATATGATGTTCCTGATTTTGTGCTCTATCACTTATGTCCCTCGAGTTTAACATGCCATCACATATCCACTACTCGTATCTAAATTTATGAAATACTCAACAAGTCTATTTACACCTATATATATATATATATATATATACATATATATATATATATATATATATATATATATATATATATATATATATATATATATATATATATATATAGACACACACACACAACACATTTCTTGGTCATAACAAGTCATCCAAAAAACACTAGCTTCCTCAGATTTCACTTATTTCAAAATAACTTTCGATATGTTTGTTTTCTGTTTCGCCCTAGGTTAACAGATACGCGAATGGGGACACGGCGACACACGGACACGGACACCGGGAAACTTTTAATAAAAAAAAGTAGGACACGGGAACGTGGGGATACGTGTAAATATTGAAAACATAGGAGTCTACTTGGAAATTATTAAAATATTTATTTTTACAATTTAAAATTCACATATATATATATATATATATATATTTATTCAAATACTATTTCAAGTTTTCAACTTTAAATCAGCAAAAAATTATAGATTAGGAGCTACCATATGGTATAGCCAATTTCACATCATACTAAAAATTAAAAAAAAAACAATCAAATTAAATAAAATAAAAAAACCATGTTCAACTAATCAAAATAAATTATCCAATACTTAATAAAATATTGCTTTTAAAATAATAATAATAATAAAATTGAACGAGCATTTTCCATCACTTCCTACTTTTCAGCCGCCTCATCTTCAGTAAAAAGTACGGTCTCTAATTCTGGTTCATCTAAAGAAAGGTCGGCAATTTCAAGAATTCCTGTATCTTCCATACTTCCAAATTCATCCCCACCAACGTCCCACATCTTTGTCTTTTCATCGTGGTATTGGGAAGTGCCTCTAGACAAAAGACGAAGGTTGGTATGAACGAATACTAAATCCTCTGCTCTTTTAGGAGTTAATTAATTCCTTCGAAATGCATGAATAAAGGAGTACGTACTCCAATTCCTTTCACAACAAGAGGAGGAAGTAGGTTGTCCAAGAACCCTAAATGCCAATCGTTGAAGCAAAGGAGAAGTTGAACCATAGCATGCCCACCACTTTCTAGCTTGAGAGAAAAATTGGCAAATTCATCATTGACCTTTGCACGATCCTCTTCGTTTGCGAACATTCTTTTAAAACACTTGATTCTTTCAGTTGAAACTTCTCCATCCATATGAGGTGGCAATCTACCTTCTCCGTCTCGAAGCCATTTATCACTATAATACCTTAGGGAAAAAACAAGAAAGCGAATAACAAGAAGTCAAAAAATAAATAACACGTTGATATAAAAAAAATTAAATATTGATAAAAATAAAAAATCACTTTGGGTTTAATGAGTGAGCCAAGCAATGAAGAGGGGTATTATACTTTGCCCAACGATCAACAAGAATCTCATGGACCACATCATAAAAAGCAGAAGATTCAATTCGTTGCTTTCCTTCATTCTCATAAATAGTCTTCTTCACTTTTTCAATCATGGAGTCCCACATCTCATAAGCTAAATGAAGACATGGCTTGTCTGTATCACAATTTCTAAGCATTTCATAAATCGGGGCAGTAAAAGAAAGAATGTAATCAACCTTTTTCCACCAATCTTCATTCACCACCGTATCGCGAACAAATCTAGCTTTCCCTTGGTCATCTTCTCGGTATTGTGCCCATTGTTCACTGAAAACCATTAACCCTAAAGCACATTTAATAAGCTTGAATCTCTTAAGAATGACAACAACAGAAGCAAAACGAGTGTCGGCAACTGAAAGCAACTTCAAATGACTAAACCGATAGAAAATAGCTAGCCTCATGTTATGGTTCATTATAAAATTCTTGATTTGCATAGCATCTGCATGAACGATACTTATCCAACTACACAAGTCATATGTAACTTGATTAGCTTCCGCATTTCTAGCTGCACAAATATTTTTCAAAGCAAGATTGAGAGTATAAACAATACAAGGAGTCCAATAAATATTAGGAAACATGCCTTCAATAATTTCTCCAGCGGCCTTACAATTTCTAGCATTATCAGTAATAACTTGAACAACCTTTTCATGTCCAACCTCGTGGATTACTTCTTTCAACAACTTTGCAATAAATTGTTTATCTTTTATCTCACCAGAACAATCCACGGCTTTGACAAACATAGGACCAGACTCAGAAAAAACCATAATATTAATCAAAGGTCTCCTCCGTGGGTCACTCCAACCATCACTCACAATACTAACACTTTTTTCGAACCAAGTGCTCTTAATAGGTTCCAACAACCTCTCCACGTGTGCCTTTTCTTGCTGGAGCAATGTGGTTCTCAATTTATTGAAGCTGGGAGGAACATAACCACCCAATGAATGATTAGCAGCAAATACAAAAGAGCTCAGAAAATAAGGATTATTAGCAAGATTAAAAGGTATGCCCCCAGTATAAAACATCCTAGCAATTTATGCATCCAATTGATCTCTAGTTTGTAAATCAAAAGCTCTAGCAATAGGTGAGTCGTCTGCTCGTCTCTTCTTCAAATTCAAAAGATTTGAACCACCTGCTTCACCAGACAATGGATTCATCGTAGTTTTCGGTAAAGAAACTTTCTTAGGTTGTGAATTTAGAATTTTTTGTGTTACATCTTCTTCATTTCAGAAATATCATCCTTGCCAACACTCGTGCAACCTGCAATCCCTTGCTTCTTAATATTTAAGAGGTGAACCCTAACCCTGGTGTAACTTCCTTGTTTTTCTTGATGACAGAAATTACAAACCCATTTACAATTACCACCACCGTCCCCTAATTTCCCGATTTTAGTGACATATTTCCACAGAATATTATTCTCTTCGTCTCTACTTCTAATATGATCCATAGTTAAATAAAAAAACACAAAAAACCAAAAAAAATAACAAACAGAAAAAAAGAATAATATTATTGTTGTATAGCTTGTAATCATGTATAAAAGAAAAAAGCAAAAAGTAAAAACTAATATATAATATATTAGTTTATGGCTTTTTGCAGAGTAATTTGCAAGAAAGAAATTACGGCTAGGGTACAACCTATAATAAAAAAGGTAAAATAGGTTTTGACTTTTGAGTTTTGCCTTTTGGGCTTTTCAAAAAAAGGCTGCGAATTTTTTTTCCTCTTTGACACGCGTATCAATTTTGGATACGCGTGTCCAATTATTTCATAATTACTGACACGGCCCCCAAGCGTATTATACGCGTATTTGGGCGTTTCGTACGACACGTGGACACTTCTCATATTAGGCGTGTCCGTGTAACAGAGGTTTCGCCTCATCAAAAAAATTTAGTTTGAATAGTATAATGGCGATTCGACAAATGCTTAGACGGTCTTTACCATCTGAAAGGAAATCAAATGAAGTTCCAAAGGGTCATTTAGCTGTTTATGTTGGGCAGAATGAGAAGAAGCATTTTGTTATTCCATTATCGTATTTGTACCATCCTTCTTTTCAAGAATTGCTATTTCAGGTCGAAGAAGAATTTGGGTTCCATCATCCAATGGGCGGACTTACTATTCCCTGCAGTGAAGAGTCATTCATTCATCTCACCTCTTACTTGATCAGTTTATGATGTAGAAAAACACACTAGATTAGTTAGCTAGTGTAACATAAATTTTGATTTTTTTTTTTGAATTTTTTTTTCTCTTGGAAAAATATGTTTCGTTGGACAAAATTACAGTACGAATATTGCTGATCCATTTTAAGATGAAAAATCATCTGGTTTTGAGTTGCTACTACAAATTATTCATAGACTCAATAGTTTTAAGGGTTAATAGCATTTTGTCATCTGTATTGTGCACATTTTTACATTAACTAAAAATTCGGACGGGCACAACGAAACCATTTTTTTGACGCACATAACTACCTATGGCGAATATTCTAACGAATCTTCTCATTTATCGGCGGACGCGCCATGCACATGCTTAATATGCTTAATGTAAGGGTTTTTTTGGTCTTTCAACTCAAATAATGTGTGGGCCCTATTTTTTTCTCTCTCATCTCTCTCATACAAACATTGCCACATCATCATCTTCATCTTCTTCTTCTCTTCTTTTTTTTGTGCTTTTCTCAAGAATCAATCTTTTCTGAAGAAACTCCGTGTTTGAGGCTTTGTGAATTGGCGGCCATGGCAAATTCGTCTCGATGATGTGAAATAACGGCTGAATTTGATGAATTGATGGATGAAGAAAGAAGGCGTTTCAGGATTTTGTTGATGTTTTTGGAGATGGATAGGCCTGTTTTTGGGATTTTGTTGGTAAAAATTTTTGGGATTCTGGAGAGGGCAAAGTGCAGAATTTTTATTTGCCACATTTTTTCATACAGTATTATCCAAATAAATGGTAAGGAAGATGCTTGAGGATGGAAAGGTGGACAAACCCAGCAAGGGTGAAGATGAGACTCACTATAACTTTGATTTGTTTGCAATTGAGGAGGTGGACAAACCCATTGAAATTAAGGTTTTGATTTTCTCCATGCTCTCTCTTCGTTCTTTTGTTCTTTTGTTTAGGTTCCGGATATGTTACAAAGTAGTTGAGTCCAGGTCAATAATATATGCTACTCTGCAAGAATGACAATAATGAAAACATCTTGGACCGATTTGAATCCAGGGAGGAGATTTGCTATATCTCCGAAATATAAGGTATGAATTTCTTGTAAATTTCGTCAATCTTATTTTGAATCCATGGAAGAGATTTGCTGATTTTGAATTCTTGTAACGTGTTCTGTTTTTTCCAGCTAATTGGGGGTGGTTGCAAATACTATTTGTGGATTGACCCTTCAATGTGTGACCGATCTCGTAACATAATTCTTGGTTTACTTAGGAAGATCAACAAGTACGAAGATGAGTTGAATAAGTACGAAGATGAGTTGAAGAAGTGTGAAGATGATTTGAAGAAGTGTGAAGGCTCAGCTACACTTTCTTGAGTCTGGTTAATGTCAGAAACAAGCTTCCTCTACAGAAATGGAAGAAATCAAAAAAAATCACAAAATCATAAACTAACATAGAAACAGTAGTTTGGCTACAAATCACAAAAGCTAAGTACATTTCTGTTAATAGCAGTACTTGTTTGAACTTCTATATGAGGTGCAAATGTAGTTTGACTTCGTTGTTTTGTCACAGTTTGTCTTTGTTGTTGAGTAACAGTAGCTTGTGTGTTTGACTTCTTTCTCTAGCATTGAAACAAATTCAACTGCATTAGTTAACAATTAACTTACTCAATAAAATAATGAATAATTGAAAACTATGCATATACCTGGCCTTTATCATTAACTACACATCTTGCCTTCTTCAAAGGGCAAGTTCTTGAATTGTGCTTTTTCTTTTGACATGAACTACATGTCATAATGACACCTTGTCTACCCAAACTCTCAATTCTTGTTACTGTTTTGGCAACTGGTGGTGGGATGTCCTTTGGACCACTGATCTCCCCTGGTTGCCTTCTTCTTTTGTGCAGTTTAGGCCTGCCTGGCATCTTCACTATGTCTGGAAGAAGCAAGGGTGGCTTTCCAGATTCAGGCCAAGATTCAATTCCTTCAAGTGTGTCAAGTAAGTGGTTGTACACTGTCATATAGGTGTTCTTCTTATAAAATTTTTCAACATAATCTTCAGGTATTCTCCGCAGATAGTACATGCCTGAAATGGAATGTGCACAAGAAAGTTCAGAGATTTACCACTTTCTACAACTGAAAGTTTTATCCCCCAAATGCACCTTAAATCTATCATCACAGCAATTATCACCTTTAAACTGATCCTTACCATTCCAATTAGCTATGAACTCCATTGATTTTTTCTTCAGCTCTTCTATCTGTCTCTGAATGTTAGGACATATGTCACCCTTGTGGCTTGCCATCTTATCCCTCTTCACATGTAGCCTCTTCAACAAGGTCTTTCTGATTGCCTCCAACATATCAATTATTGGTAGATTTCTAGGCCTTAGAATCATTGCATTAAAGCTTTCACACATATTGTTCAAAAGTGTATCACATTTTGAATTTGTATTGAAAAAAGCTCTACTCCAATGTGCAGCAGGCCTTTGTGCAAGCCATTTGAAAGCATCTTTATCTTTGGAGGCCAAATCTCTCATCACTCTTTCAAAATCTACCACTCTTGAAGCTCTAGCAGCTTGCCACAGAATGTTCTTGATTGCCAATCCTTTATGTGATACCTTGAAGTTACAGTACAAGTACATGGCACAAAATATGTGCTCACTGTTAGGCAGAACTTCCTCCACAACATCTAATAACCCCTTATGCTTGTCACTCATGATGGTCCAGTGCTGACTCTCCTCAATCTTCAAGTCTTCTTTCAGCGAATTCATAAACCACAACCAACTTTCTCTCTTTTCCTTTTCTACAACAGCATATGCAAAGGGATACATGCCATTATTTCCATCTATCCCCACTGTACATAGAAGAATCCCACCATATATCGACAAGTGACAACCATCTAAGAAGATGATTGGCCTACACCCATCAAGAAACCCATTCTCAATCTATCCCAGCAAATGTAAATTCTTTTGAACTTCTCATTAAGCCTCAGCTTTATGTCCCTACCATTAACTATGGAGTGCTGTCTTATGGCATCTCTAAAACTCTATGCATCTTTGAAGCAAACACCAAGATGAAAGTTAGGATCACCCATGTCTATCTTTGGATTAAAAACTGGAAAGTTGTGGTGTTTCCATTGATCTTTCTTGGCAGTTTCATGAATCTAATCTTCTACCACTTTCTCTTTCCCCTTGTTTAATCTCCTAGACCTTCTAGGTTCTTCAGCTTCTTCATCTGACTTAAGTCCACCCCACTCTACCCCATGATCAATATTTTTATCATATTTAAAATCATCATCTGATGCAAAAAAAATCACTACCAACCAAAAAGTCAGAGTGCTCTGAATCATCTCCAACTGACTGAACATCACTGCCACCACTTTCATTATCATCAAACAAACCATCATTATCACCAAAAATATCAGTCATATGATTCACATACATATTACTATCAAGAACCTCAAATTTAAGCACATCAGACTCACACACATCATTAAGTCATCAACTTCATCAACATCGCCCACATACCCTACTGATGCTTCATCTACATATGGAAGATTATCTAAATCAAAGGAATCAGGTTGACTTTTTTCAGTTTCATCTTCTATTACTTGTAGGTGCTTCACATAAATTGTAGTGGCTCTGTCTTTGTCAAGATAGTTCACTAATTCCAAAGCATCATATTCATTCTCCATTAAATAAAGAACACTACAATCTTGTAATGCACTTCTACTATGATAGAAATCTTCCCAATCTTCCAATTTTAATTCCCTTGCCATTTCAGTTATTTCAGTCATTGACATTTCATCATAACAACAGTAGTCAAAATAACTAACTTTCTCACCCACATAACAGATCTTACCTAAATCCATAAATTTTCCAGAATGGTGCATTACTATTGTGAAATAATCACTATTGCGGCCTGCCAAAAAATATATAAAACACATTTTCCGAACATGTGAATCTAATAAAAAACTATTTGATGTGGTAATAAGAAAAAAAAAATTAAACATGCTAAAATCAAAGTGGGAGACTGAAATGTGGTCCAAACATGTATTGTAAGTTGGCATAAACATATGGGAGACAAGAAAACCAATGTGGTCCACACAATAAAGAAAAAAACTATAAACAAACAAAGAAATCACTATAGTATATTATAAACAAATCCAAGAACACCCCATGTGCAACCACATTGAATACATAAAACAACTATTTACATTAAAAAAAACAAATAATATGAATTCTAAGAACGCATACCGTATTCTGGAGCATTTTTTCGAAAATTGTCCTCGTCACTACCCTCCC